GGGGATTAATTCTTCGTGGATTAATGGACTCATGGATTAATGGATTACAGGGTTATAGAGGGATTGGGTTAGTCATCACAAGAGTGGGTCTGTTACAAAAGCCAGTTTGGCTATTTTTCATGAGCCTTGTAACCATGTGATTCCTTGTACTGTCTCAGAACTCTGCAGAGCTGTCACCAGCAAGAAGGTCCTCACAAGATGCAGCCCCTTGACCTTACACTTCCCACCTTCAAGAACTGTAAGCAATAAATTTCTTCTTTTGTAAATTCCCTAGTCTCAGGTATTCAGTTATAGCAACAGAAAATGGACTAATACACATGGCTAGTAGATGATAATCTGCCTTAGGTTTCAAAACCTGTTTGAAATCTCTAAGGCCCAGGATCTTACCCAACCTCTTTGTTTAGGTTAGCACTAAATTTCAGTTACTAAACAAAGTGTTAGTTTCCTCCAACAGGGCCCTGTATATCTAATGCCTGCTTAATGTCTCCTCTTGGATGTCTTAATGTCAATTCAAATGGAACTGCTCTTACCATCTTCCTTCCCCAAAACAGGTGGTCTTCAGGGCTGTCTCCATGAAATCATCACCAGCCTTCCCAGGCCAGGACTCTCCATGCCATCCTTAGCAAGGTCCTCACTTTATGTAATCAACTCCTAGTTTCTATTTTGTTTTATCCTCCAGATAGTTTTTGAAACTTTCCTTCTTTGGCTCTACCATCCCAGTCTAGGCATCATCATCTCATACCTGCCAGGGGTTCCTAACTGGCCTAGGCTCATCCAGTCTGCATTGCTCCCATCTGTCTTCCACTCTCCAGCTAGAGTGATTGATGTGACATGAAAATCATAAGCTGTCCTCTGCTTAAACCCTTCAATGCATCCTGCTTTTCTTAGGAGAAGAAAACAAATGCCCAGCATCCATTTCCAGGTCCTGGTCCTGCATGGTGTGATGGCGAGTCTCACAAACATTAGCCATCTTAATCACATGCCTTTGCTCCCTCCACTCCACTACACAAGTATTTGGTAATTGCATCCTTCCTCTCCCTAGGGGCATTTGCATATGTTGATTACTCTGCCTGAACCTGCTCTTCCCTCCCATCTGCACCTAATTAATGCTTACTCAGCCAAGCATTACTTCCCCAGAATCCTGGCCAGGTCTAATGCCCATTATGTGAGTTGTTGGGGCACCCTGTCTCTCTCCTCTATAGACCTTTTCCTTTTGTAAGTTTGGATCTGTTAGAAACTTTGTAAGTTTGTAAGTTTGTATTAGATGATTTGACTAAATGTCTATCTGGTCCATTAGGGTGAAAACGTAGACTCTGTTATGGGTTGCATTGTGTCCCTGCAAACAAGATAATGTTGAAGTCCTAAGCCCAAATGCCTGTACGTATGTCCTTATTTGGTACTTGGGTGTTCGCTTCTGCAGAGACTTCAGCAAGTTATGATGAGGTCATTAGGGTCAGCTGAGTTCATATGACTGATGTCCTTATAAGAGGAGGGAAATCTGGACACAAACACTGACCAACAGGGAGAGGGGAGAACACCTGTGAAGACACCAAGACAGACACTGAGGGAAGACGGCCATGTGCAGATGGAGGCAGGGACCAGACTTATGCTGCCACAAGGCAGGAAACACCTGGGGCTGCCGGACGCTGGAAAAGGCAGGGAAGAGTCCTCCTCTAGAGTCTGCAGAGAGAACATGACTCTGCAAGCACCTTGATTTCAGACCTCTAGCCTCCAGAACTGTGACAATACATTTCCTTTGTTTTTAGCCACCCAGTTTGTAATACTTTGTTACAGAGGCCCTAGGAATCTAATACAGACCATAACCCTTATGAGGGCAGGAACCTTATGTATTTTCACTCAGCATTGACTTTCTAACTTCTATCTCAGTGCCTAGTTAGGTAATAATTCCCTGTAACAATAATCTTTCAATAGGGAAGGTGACTTTCACAATTACCTGGGGAACTTTCACCAGGTGGGCAAGAGCCCACCCAGGAAGTCTGCTCCAAGAAGATTCTCCCACATATCTATAAAACATTTAATAAAAAAAAGAAATGTTCCTTCCTATAACAGATTTCTGTAACAAGTATTACCTGAGTCATTAGGGCAGCACACCCTTCTTTCCCTGAATTATCTGGGTAATTGCACAACTGCTTCACTTCGGTTGCATAGTTAACTGCGCACATTAGGTGTGGTAATTGGGTAGTGGCCAAGGAGTACAAACTACATGGCTTCAAAGCATGTGCTTACAAAAAGGACTCGCTTAAATTAAACTGAAATTCAGCCCAAAGAGTTGATTAGAAACAACTCAAAAGGGTCAGTTAGTGAGTCTGGGGGGACTCTGAGCACTGGGGAACTGGAGCAAATAATACTGTCTTTTTCTTTAAACCTAGTCAAAGAGATAAAATAGGAATACATGAAACAGGAGCAATCACAAGGACATAACAGGGTACACAGGTGCCATGTCATGTTCACGGCACAGAACTGAAGCCCCAAAGAGTTCAGAAGACAGGATGACTGGAGATATCCTTGACACATTGAGCTAAAAAAATAAAAAATAAAAACAAGGCCAGGCGCAGTGGCTCACACCTGTAATCCCAGCACTTTGGGAGGCCGAGGGGGATGTATCACCTGAGGTCAGGAGTTTGAGACCAGCCTAGCCAACGTGGCGAAATCCCATCTCTTCTAAAATACAAAAATTAACCGGGGGTGGTGGCAAGTGCCTGTAATCCCAGCTACTTGGGAGGCTGAGGCAGGAGAATTGCTTGAACCTGGGAGGTGGAGTTTGCAGTGAGCTGAGATCACACCTCTACACTTGAGCCTTTAGCCTGGGCAACAGAGCAAGACTCTATCTCAAAAAAAAAAAAAAATTAAAACAAAGCAACAACAACAAAAACACAAGTTATGAGACAGCATGTTTATTGTTATTACATAGAATAGAAACAAAGTGCCCATGCATGTGCCTATATGTTTATATAATCACAAAGAAATAAGGAAAGTAATGGAGGAATATGGGTGGGAGAAGAGGCAACTGGAGAAAACCTTTAATTTTCTTATATGTATCTGTATCATCTGAATTGCTAAAATAAGAGGGGATTAGTTTTCTAATTCAAGTAACAGAAACTTTAAAATCACACCCCCAAAAAAGGAAAAAGTATCCTCACATTTAGTCTTTCAAAATGAGACTAGCCTATTAATGATACTTTTAGTTCTGTCAATCGTCTATTATTTCTCTCAGGTAAGAATCATTAAGACCACAGGGAAAAGCATCCACCAGTCTCTGTGTGCGAGGCCCCATCTGGCCATTTCTCACAAGAAGCACCTCTCTGCAAATGGACACGTTTCACCATATGAGCTGCAGAGGAACCATTTTTTGGGTTCCCCTTCCTCCACTCCAGAAAATAAATACATACACAATGCAATTACAGACAAAAGAAAACCCTATCGCCCTCATCCAGGGGCTCACGTTCAGCAGGCTGCCATGGTGTGCAGTATTTAGATGGTTGGTAAGGGTGACTAAAGTCTTAGTGTGTCTGATCATGCCAGGCCTAAGGAATTAGTCAGAGCTGGGTTTGCAAGTGGTGACATTTAATGATTTATTGAATTTCAGTAGTTTATGATTTGCCATTTAAAAAAAAATACGCTATAAGAAAAGATGTTTATTTTGCTTTACAGGAACTGGATAATTTTCTAAATGTGTGCTTTAAGAGGAGAAAATCAGTACAAACAACCACTGTAGCATACCTCATGTCTAACCTCATCACATGAACTCCAGCCCAGATAAGCAGCTTTCCGAACGTTATTGGTGGAAATATGATTTTCAGAGGGAAAAGAAACCATCCTTGGGTCAGAAAGTTGGTGTTATCAGCTTGTGACATTATTCCTGTTGTATAATTTTACCTCTGGGACCATTATTTCACTTCAAGTGGACTGGAAATTCAGAGTTAGCCTAATCAGTCATCTCACTCAAGGGCCTTCAAATGCATTTATTTTCATATTCTGAGGTGCCTGTGTGGCATTCACATTTTTTCTTAAAGTAGTTAGGGTCACAGGTAGAAAATATGACAGTTAATTAAAAGGAGCTGATGAGTGCTTCCTCCAGAAGACCAGCTCTGCCAGGAGCCCCTGACTAAGGACCAGACTCTGTCCTGTTAGGGCATGACCATTCATCTCCCATGAAAAAGTAATGCAGAGTCTTACATAAAAATCATTCGAGGAGTAAGAAAAGATGAAAAAATCCACAGCTCCTAACTGCCATTGAAAATCCTCTCCCCAAGCCTTTGCTGCCTTGTAAGGTTTATTAATGTGTTTTCTATTTAAATAAATAGGTATTAGTTGTCCACCCTATACAAGATGCTGTTCTAACCTCTGGGAACATGATAGCGCTTGTGCAGATATGGTTGGTGCCATCATGAGGCTCAGTATTGACTTCCTAACTTCCATTGGCAGGAAATGCTATTTAAAGGCAGTGTTGCAGAATGTGACATGGTGGAGGATGTAGAGCAGCAGTCCCCAACCTTTCTGGCACCAGGGACCAGTTTCATGGAAGACAGTTTTTCCATAGACAGGGTGGGGTGGGGTGATGGTTGCAGGATGAAACTGTTCCACCTCAGATCATCAGGCATTAGATTCTCATAAGGAGTGCACATGCGCAGTTCACAATAGGGTTCATGCTCCAATAAGAATTGAATGTGCAGCTGATCTGACAGGAAGCAGAGCTCAGCTTCACTTGCTCACCTGCTGCTCACCTGCTGCTTACCTGCTGTGTGGCCTGGGGCTGGGGACCCCTGCCGTACAGAATGCACAGCAGGGCATGGAAACCAGACCAGGGATGTCAGCAATCTGAGTTTAAGTAGGAGTACACACAACATGGCGGGAGGAGAGTGAGAGAGGGAGGGGATGTTTCCAGAGCACAGGATCTGAATGAGTGCTGGCTCCGGAAGTCAGAGAGAACCTGGAGCCCCATGTGAGGGTGAGGACTCTGGTATGGGTGGAATAAAATTGTGAAATAGGAAACAGTGGGAGATAATCCTGGAGAAGTGAGGAAGATGCTGGACTGCTTCTGGATTTCTGCCTAAAAACAATGAGAAGTCACTGGTAAGTTGTATGTAGACAAGTCACACGACCACATTTGCAGTTTAGTAAATATCCAGACTATAGTGTGAACACCAAATCAGAAGGATTTACCATAAAATTCAGAGGAGATGTTAGGGAACTTAGTGGGAATGAGGGTGGAAGGCAGTGGACAGAACCGGTTGATATTGAGGAGGTAGAAATGACAAGACTTGCTAATAGATTGGATGTGCTAGACAAGTATAAAAGAAGAGTCAAACCTGACTCCAGGTTTCTGCCTTGGTCACCAGGGTAGAGAGTGATGTCATTTATTAACACTGTGAACACATCAGGAGGGGCAAGCCTGAGGCAGAAATCCAGGTTTACATTTGTGTTAACAGGATGCCCAGGGAGGGAGAATTTTAAAATAATTATGCCAGCCTTTTACCATCTGGAAAGAGAAGGTCTCCTTGGGGAACATTTTGTTATTCTTGTTGTTCTTGAAAGAGTAGTTTGGCTGTTTAGTAAAAATTAAAGTTAAAAAGCCCCCCTTGCCCCGGGGAAAGGTGCATTTAAAAACCTCATCCTTCCAGAGACTTAGGAAAAGTAGTCCTTCCCTTTAGTATATAAGAAGATAAACCCATTTGCTTGATAAACCAGGAGCCCAGGAGCCCCGAGACCTTCTGTGAGATGGCCTCTGGTTTTACCAAGGTTTTACCTTTTTCAAAGGTATAGACACAACTGGGCAAGAACTGGGGACCATGATGTAGGTCTAGTGTCAAGGTAAGACCTCAAGAATCCTAGAGGAAAACTCACCAGGAACAGGTTCATGTGGTCCTGCAGCCTCATCTACTGGCCCAAAGACTTAGAAATGGCCAGCTCCCACACAGTGTTAAGCCGAAGTTGGAAATCACCCCGCCTCGGCTTGACTGTTGGTAAATAGTGTTCTGTGTATGTGAGCTGGAGCCCTGGAGCCCAAGACATGGCCCGGGTCTTCCGGGGTCTTCAGGGGGTCTGAAGCAGTGGGTCCATCATTCTGACAGTACAAGAACAGCTTTCGACAGGGGCACTACCTGGCAGTGAAAGCAACAGCAAGAAAGAATCCCTAAGAGCATCAGGGATTGGCACTCTTTAATCTGAGTAGATTTTGGAACATTTTGGACAAATCAGGGTTGACAGGAGGTCCAAGAGAGACATATTAGAATCTCTGTTAATAAAAGCAGGTGGGCATTTGAGCTACTGAATGGACAGCTGGGAGATTTTACTCTACATGCACTAAAAACTGGTGAAGTAGGGCACACTGCCTACGTATTTGCTATATTTGTTAACATAATTGCTCTACTTTTAAAATCAACGCTTGAAGTCTATAGCAGAATGAGAAAAGGCAATCAATGTTATACATTTGTATATTGTTACACGATTTTTCAAAGCACTTTTCTAAATGTGGGGAAACGTTCACTATTTTTGCCAGCTCATCATCCTGTCTCCTTTATTCTGGCCACAAAACCGCTCTTTTCTGTGAGGGACCCGTTCCATGTGGTTTAAATGGGGCTAATCCTGCCCAGAGGGCTGGACTCATTGAGGAAGGGCTGGATATGTGACCTAAGCCAGTAAGATGGAGATATGTCGTTCAGGTCAATAAGAAAATTCTCCATGACTTTCCTAACCTGTATATGCGGGAAAAACTCTTTCTCTGGAATCATGACTCAAAAGAGTGATGAAAACCTGAAACTGGCTGGGCATGGTGGCGCATGCCTGTAATCCCAGCACTTTGGGAGACCAAGGTGGATGGATCACTTGAGGCCCGGAGTTGGAGACCAGCTGGGCCACATGGTGAAATCCCATCTCTACTAAAAATACAGAAGTTAGCCAGACGTGATGACACATGCCTATAGTCCCAGCTACTCAGGAGGCTGAGGCAGGAGAATGGCTTGAACCCGGGAGGCAGAGAGGTTGCAGTGAGCCAAGATCATGACACTGCACTCCAGCCTGGGCAACAGAACCAAAAAAAAAAAAAAAAAAAACCAAACAACCTGAAACCAGCTATATCATGTGGGAGTCTATGAACGTTTGTAGGTTGAATAGTACTATCATTCATCGCCTGAAAGATTGAAAACTACTAGATTAAAAGAAGAGGATGAGATTTGGAAGGGGAGAGCAGCGGACTGAAAGACTTGCCTACTTTCCTCTGAGGGGTTTGGCCAGACTGAAAGGAAAGCAATGGGGGTGGGGGCCCTTCTCTGGGGGTAACACCTTCTCTCCTGAGATTTCGGCCAACTGAGAATTCCTCCTGGAAGTAGAGTGTCTCTTCTCAAATTTGAAAAAGAAAGGTCGAACCTAGAGTAAATGATGCCAGTAAAAATGGCATATTTCTTGGCAGAAGACTCTCTACCAATGAGGTATGTCAGAGACAGACAAGGCAGCTATGAGTTCACCCAATTTTCGATGTTATTTTACTGTGAGGACTTTATTTCTTCTTTCGTTACGGTTTTCTGGGTATATTAATGCATTAAATCTCGTTAAATAAATAGAAATCTGCTTCCCACAAGTATGTTTTATTGTGCAAGCCACACATTCCACAGAAGGATCACAGACTGGTGGTGCTCACCCTGCACCCAAGTGTACAGCCTCGAACAAAGAATCATCTTTTACTGTGGAAAGACAGGCTGGAGCCTGATGACTGAATTTGCTTTTTCTCTCACTTTAGTGGTAACAGATCATAGATATTATGCATGCATACACACACATACCCCCCCTAAGTGGTGTGGGATATGTACTACATTAATATTCATTTATTTGTATATATAAATATCTTTGCACATATATTGTATGTATAACAAATGAATACATATATATTATTTATCTGTCAATAAGCATCAGACAACAAACAAAAATCATTCAATCCATAACTCCTGTTCTAACTGGCACATTTTCTTGCTTTAAACTACCCAGTTTTCCAGGTTTGCTAACAAGCAGTAAATTAGGGTTTGTGTTTTGTTTCCATTCATTTTTTCATCTTTCTAGCTAAGGAGGTGGGAGACAGCTGCAAAGTCATTGGAGGAAAAGCAGCAACAAAAAGCCTAGTAAATCCACACACCAGATAACCCCTTCCTTTGTAATTAACTTAATACTCAATATTTATGTAGCAATCAATAAACAACTGCAATTGATTTATAGAAGATTATACATTCCCTGGGCACAAACCCTTCGTTTACTCACCTTTGAATAGTAACAATCCCCACATAATGTTCTGCACGTGGTAGGTATTTAGTAATAATTATTTAATTAAATTCCACAAGTGACATAACCAACCTTATTACTTGATCATAAGTAACTTCAGTATCTCAGTTGGTACTACAGCTAACTAGGTCTTCCCGCCACCCTGCCCCCCATCTTCTACATCCCCACTGTCAGCAAGAATTATTTCTGAAGTGGTTCTACTCATATGTAACCTGAGGTCCACTTGTTTGTTACCTAGTGTCTCAATGATGCTTAAAATAGCATGAATAATAGAGCAAGTGTGCCTATGATTGGTCATTGACAGAGAAATTCTTGCATGCTCAATAAGCATCTAATAGAGGGAAGTCCTTAGAATTTACATTCATTGTTATAGTGGCTAAGTTTTGTTAAAATCCAGCAAAAGCAGAGTTAATTTTAATTAGTAGAAACAGGCTTAAAAATAGCCTCCCAAGTTAGCCTAGTTCTGCAATTTTACCATCCCATAGTGATAATGAAAAAATACTGTTCGTGAGTTTTCCTCTTTCATTTGGTTAAAACCCCCTCCTCCACATAAAATTAGATTCTATACTGATAGTATAATTACTGTATAATAGAGTTTGCTCAACCACTCAACACAAAATGCTTTGCTTTCATAGCATTTTAATATGAGCAGCATAATGGGCACCAGCTTGAAAATCAGCATGCCGGGAAGGAAGCTAGGACCCCAAACGAGCTTGAGTTTGTCAAATTTGGTTCAGCTGTTCAGCAAACTAGTTAATTCTAACCGACTTGACATGTGGATATCAAACATTTTCTGTTCCCAATCATGTATTTAGGTTAAAGAGAAAATGGTCTGGCCTCAGACCCACCGTAATATCAACACCTGCCCTGCAGCTCTTCCAGGGCACATCACGTGAGTGGCCTCACCGCTTCCCATGCACTGAGGAAATTGTATCTGTTCCACATTTATGGCTCTGAAGTGCTGATATTGAAAAGCCAGACATTCTCCATGATGCATCAATTTTAAATTAAATTAGACTTTTCTATTTCTCCCACTAAATAGTGCTTTTATGGACTTAATGACTCTGTGTTGTTCACCATATACTAAAACTGTTTATTCCTTTGGGGATAAGAGATTAACAAAACTAATATAGTGAAACCCCCTATTTACGTAATTGCAATTTTAGCCATAATAGAGGCTTTTTTGACTTCTTAAATGTCCGCTATTGCCAGAGTTAGCATAGTTTATGCCGCATGTCCACTTTATTCTCTAATTCCTCTGAAATAACTAGTAAATCTCCCTATTGTTTGTGGAGAGACCGGTTGTAAAAGGCAATCAGTTTCTTTTACATACTTCCAATGAGTGCTAGAGAAAAAGCCCAACAGAGGGGCTTGCTTCACCCATTTTCTACAGGGATAACAAATTCAGGAGCCTGAACAGTTAACATAAAATTAGGAAATGAGGCCAGGCACGGTGGCTCACGCTTGTAATCCTAGCACTTTGGGAGGCCAAGGCAGGCTGATCACCTGAGGTCAGGAGCTCCAGACCAGCCTGGCCAACATGGTGAAACCCCATCTTTACTAAAAATACAAAAATCAGCCGGACATGGTGATGAGCACCTGTAATCCCAGCTACTCAGGAGGCTGAGGCAGGAGAATCGCTGGAACCCAGGAAGTGGAGGCTGTAGTGAGTCGTGATCATGCTACTGCTCTCCAGCCTGGGTGACAGAGTGAGACTCCATCTCAAAAAAAAAAAAAAAAAAAGGAAATGAACTGGGCATAGACAGTGCCACACTACAGAGAACACAATCCACCTAAATACAGTCCTTTTATTTTCCGTTTTTTTCTTCTAATATATATTGATCTGGCCAAAAGAATCACTACTGCTAGGCTAATACAGCAGTTCCCAATATCACTTCTCCAAAAGGAGATATACTACAAAAATAGTCATAAGCTTTCACCCTTCAAAACATTTTCCAAAATGTCTCCTTTTCATTAAGGCCAAAGGACATGTAACTCCTGAAAATAGATCTAAATATCCATCACTTGAGAATGTTTGTATCTGGGGTGAGAAAAATTCATGTAACTATTTGTAGGTTAAATGCACCTGAGAGCAATAACTTAAGCAATACCCTTAGAATGACCCTGCATGGCAGATGCGCCCGAATGTCTCTTCCAAGCTAGGGAGTTGGGAGTGGCTAATCCAGAAATTTGTTCCTGTATATGAGGAACATCCGAGCCCTCAGCTCATCCTGTGGAACACGGGCCAAACAGGGCATTGAGGCCCTGAATTTTTGGGTTAAATGGAGGTTGCCAGGTGGGACCTGGCAGAGGAGGGGTATTAAGGGAAAATGCTGTATAAACTGCATGCTGTTTGCAAGCAGTTGCGGTTTTCCTGTCCAGCCCACCACCACTGGACCATGCCTAAGGTGGCTCTCCTGTCCAGCCCACCGCCACGGAACTCTCTCCCCCGGATATCAACCCCCAGTAAAACCCCATGTCTCATTTGCTGTTTCTGGGGCTCTTCTTTGGCCTCTTAAACCTGGTGCCATCCCCACTGGAGTGCACAGAGGTTCGACACTACACTATTTTATTGATGCTTTAAATATGTTTTATTATTTGTGCTGACTTGAAATAACAAGAAACATCCTGGGTAATTTAAGAATTTATCTGCTTGTGTTCCATATTTGCAACATTTTCTCTTGCTCTTCCTCCCAAAAGAAAATGCAGAGCCGGGCGCAGTGTCTCATGCCTGTAATCCCAGCACTTTGGGAGGCCGAGACGGGTGGATCACAAGGTCAGGAGATGGAGGCTATCTGGCTAACACGGTGAAACCCCGTCTCTACTAAAAATACAAAAAATTAGCCGGGAGTGGTGGCGGGTGCCTGTAGTCCCAGCTACTTGGGAAGCTGAGGCAGGAGAATGGTGTGAACCTGGGAGGCAGAGCTTGCAGTGAGCTGAGATTGCACCACTGCACTCCAACCTGGGCGACAGAGCGAGACTCAGTCTCAAAAACACAAGAAAGAAAGAAAAAGAAAAGAAAATGCAGTTGTCCACCCCCATCCATGGGGGTGTGCCTTCCAAGACCTCCCATGGATGCCTGAAACTACCTAGAGAACTGAACCTGCTCCACCACTTACAATGGAATTACAATCCAATAAACCCATCCTAAACTGAAAAATGTATTTAATGCACCTACTACGGAATATCATAGCTTAGCCTGGCCTACCTTAAACACGCTCAGAAGACTCACACTAGCCTGCACCTGGTAAAACCGTCTGACAACACAGTGCACGGCGCACCGCCTCTGCCCGGTATCACAAGGGAGGATCGTATGAAAAAATGCTCACTACCAATGACCAGGGAAATGCAAATCAAAACACAATTTGATACTACCTTATGCTTGCAAGAATGGCCATAATTAATAAATCAAAAAATAATAGATGTTGGTATAGATGTGGTGAAAAGAGAACACTTTTACACTGCTGGTGAAAATGTAAACTAGTACAACCACTATGAAAAACAGTGTGGAGATTCCTTAAACAACTAAAATTAGATCTACCATTTGATCCAGCAAGCCCACTACTGGGGATCTATCCAGAGGAAAAGAAGTCATTCTATGAAATAGATACTTGTACACACACGTTTATAGCAGCACAATTTGTAACTGCAAAAATATGGAACCAGCCCAAATGCCCATCAATCAACAAGTGGTTAAAGAAAATGTGGTGTGTGTGTGTCTGTGTGTGTGTGTGTATACACCATGGAATACTACCCAGCCATAAACAGGAACTAAATAATGGCATTCACAGCAACCTGCATGAAGTTGGAGACCATTATTCTAAGTAAAGAAACTCAGTAATGGAAAACCAAACATCGTATGTTTTCACTCATAAGTGGGAGCTAAGCTATGAGGACACAAAGGCATAAGAACAATACAATGGACTTTGGGGCCTCGTGGAGAAGGACGGGAAAGGGCAAGGGATAAAGGCTACATTTTCAGTACAGTGTACACTGCTTGAGTGATGGGTGCACCAAAATCTCGGACATCACCACTAAAGTACTTATTCATGTAACCAAACACCATCTGTTCCCAAAAAACCTACTGAAAAAAATACAAAAAAATAGTATTGGACCACTTTCTACTGAATGCATATTGCTTTTGCACAGTCCTAAAGGTGAAAAACCATTTAAGTCAAACCATCATAAATTGGGGACTATTTGTACATACCTATGATAAAATTTAATTTATAGGCTGGGTACAGTGGCTCATGCCTGTAATTCCAGCACTTTGGGAGGCCGAGGCAGGGAGATCACCTGAGATCAGGAGTTCAAGACCAACATGGCGAAACCCTGTCTCTACTAAAAATACAAACATTAGCTGGACATTGTGACGGGTGCCTGTGATGCCAGCTACTCAGGAGGCTGAGGCAGGAGAATCCCTTGAGCTCAGGAGGCAGAGGTTGCAGTGAGCCGAGATTGTGCCACTGAACTCCAGCCTTGGTGACAGAGCAAGACTCCATCTCAAAAAAAAATAATGTATAAATTAGGCCCAATAAGACATTAACAATAACTAAAAACAGAACAACTATAACAAAATGCTGTAATAGAAGTTATGTAAATTTGGTCTCCCTCTCTCAAAATATTTTATTGCACTGTACTCACCTATTTCAGACCTCAGTTAACCACAGGTAACTAATTCAAGGAAAGCAAAACGTCGAATAACAGGGGACTGCTACTGGAGAAGGCACTTATTGCGTACATATGTCTAAGTGTAAACATGGAACCCATAGTAATTCTCACGAAATACCCCACTATATGTCCACTTTTCCCAGCTCCCTATGTCACTAGGTGGGACCACGTAACTGACTTGGCCAATGAGCTGTGAGAAGAAGTTACAAGGCCACATCTGGAATTGAAGCAATGAAAAACCTTGGTACAGTTCTCTAGTCTCTTTCCCTGCCATGGTAACCAAAGGGGGATGATTATTCCAGAAATTGCAGGTATAAGATGGAAAAGGCTACATCAGCCAGGTTCTGTGAGGAACTGTGTAAAACAAACTCCTTTCTCTTCTACCGCCTTAACTTGTTTTGTGCTGTAGTAACAGGACACCTAAGACTGGATGATTTATAATGAACAGAAATGTATTGGCTTACAGTTCTGGAGGCGGGGAAGTCCAGTATCACGATGACAACATCTGCCCAGGGCCTTCTTGCTGCATCATCACATGGCAGAAGGGCAAAGAGAGGGCATGAGAGAAACAGAGAACAAGAGGGGGTAAACCCACTCCCCCAGTAATGGCATGAATCCATTTATGATGGCAGGGCCCTCTTGGCCTAATCACTTTTAAAAGCCCCACATCTTAATATTGTTACAATGGTAATTAAATTTCAATGTGAGTTTTGGAGGAGACAGTCATTCAAACCATCCACCATTCATCCACCTACCAGCAAGAAGAAACAAACATTGGTATTTGGGGGTGGGAGAGCTTGTTACAATATATACCTAGCCTACCCCAATTAAAACAAGAATCATCCATCTTTGCAGTAGTAAAGATTCTCTCCTTCACTAAACTTCAGTCAGGCTCCTCTAAGTCTGACCTTGGCGTCTACCTAGTTGGGCCTGCATCACGCCATTTAACAAAAATCCTGCTAAGTCACTGTGTCAGTCAGAGTTCTTTAGAGGGACAGAACTAACAGGATAGATGTATATATGAAGGGGAGTTTATTAAGGAGTATGGACCCACATGATCACAAGGTAAAGTCCCACAACAGGCCGTCTGCAAGCTGAGGAGCAAGGAAGACAGCAGTGGCTCAGTCTGAGTCCTAAATCTCAAAAGTAGGGAAGCTGACAGTGCAACCTTCAGTCTGCGGCCAAAGGCCCCACAGCCCCTGCCGAACCTGGTGTAGGTCCAAGAGTGCAAAAGCTGAAGAAGTTGGGAGTCTGATATTCCGGGGCAGGAAACATCCAGCACAGGAGAAAGATGAAGGCTGGAAGACTCAGCAATCTGCCCATTCCATTTTCTTCTTCATTCCACTTTATTCTAGCCACACTCGCAGCTGATTAGATGGTGCCCACCCAGATTGGCAACACCTTCATAGACACACCTGGGAACAATACTTTGCATCCTTTGATCCAATCAAGTTGACACTCAATATTAACTACCGCGGTCAATTTAGAGAGAATTCTCCACCTGTGATCTCTGATCATTCTCAACATCTTTTCAGATTCCTTATCCCCCACCCTGATCACCCTAGCCTGCCTTCAGTAAGAATCCTCGTAAGTCTGTTTAACCAAAACCCTCCCCACCGCTGCTGTTTCCTGATAGTATTTTCCATCCTCCCACCCCTGCCCTGCTCCTTGGCTATAAATCCCGACTTGTCCTAGCTGTATTCCAAATTGAGCCCAGTTCTGTACGGAGATCTCTTTTCTCCTATTACAATACCTCTTGAATAAAACCTGTTTGGGCCACTTTATTGTCAGGCTCTAATTTTACTTTAACAGCAGTAATTCTTTAATTGTGTCTGTCCATCCACTCATTCCACTTGGTTTCCCTCATAAATTCTAAGCTAGATCAATATACAACCATAACTCCCCCAGCAATTTCGTAAAGGGCAATTTTTATGAACTTCTAAGTTATCCCAAATTTTTTTTAGTTACATTAAGTCAAATACAGAATCCCAAAATTAATTTTATTGTTTGAAATTAACTTATAGAAAAGAAAACTAGTTTTCTATTTTATCTCGTTAATATGCTATGTAAAGTTTTGAACTGACGATATTAATATATAATATTGCACCTGCACTGTAATGATTAATTATTACTTTATTAGGAGGATACATATGCTTGTCATTGACACACTAACTACTAAGTGTGGAGGTTTGATTGATTTAAGAGATTAAGGGATAATTTTGTTTTTAAACTCGGTCTTCCATGGAGGTAGTACCTGTGTGCTGCGGACAGTCTATAGGTGTTGCCTGTCACTGGACTGTGATGTATGAACACTCTATTCATAATTCAAACTGTCTCCCATTTGTTCATGAAAGCTGGCAATGCAGAGGGAATTCTGCTGAAAGAGCCACAAAAGAGTGAATTCAAGAGTGAATTACAGAGAAATGTAAAACAATATGACAGAGGAGCATTTGGGCAAAAAATAAAGCAACCAAATCCAACAAATGTAAAAGGAGTGATTTTTTTTTTTTAATTTTTTTGGCCAAATAGTACATTCAAATGTAAGTTCAAACAGCAAGCCTGCTGGTTCTCTGTCAGCAAAAAATGCTAAATAGGGGCTAAGTTGTCTTCCTGGAGGGTGAGGCGCACAGACAAACTGAAAAGCCACCTGAAGTTTCAACCAAAAGCCAATTTAGATCAAGCTGAGCAGACAGGTCTGCTGCCCAATTCAACACCAAGCTGTTTTTTTTTGTTTTTTGTTTTTAATGTATATAAGTCAAAAAGTACTTTACAAGCCAAGGAAAACTCAGAGAGCAATTTATGGACTAACGGCATAGTTCCCATTCAGGTCCGGGGCCTGGAGTGCAGCCTGGGGCAGTTCCCATTGTGCTTCCCAGCCCCTATCTTTGTTTTTTACTGGTAAATTCAGAATAAACAGAAAGTCAAGTGCAGCGGAGGGCTGTACAGGTTAGGGAGGAAGGGCAGTTCCACCCAGTTGGTCCAGGTTAAAATGGAGGCTGTTACTTGCTGAGAGCAGATTTGCACTCCTTTCTTGTTTTTTTTTTTTTTTTTTTTAAGCACCAGCTGAGACTCTCTCTCAATTGCCCTCAACACTGAGTCACTAACCAGCCACTGGGTGTGGAATTCTGGCAGCAGCAGCGCTTAACTCTGAGACTCCCCACTCCCCACCCACCAGCTCCTTGCCCTCTCTGCAATGGCTTTTTTTCAGTAATAGAGGAAAAAAAATTTGAAATCCTGCTAATTCTGAGTATTGTTTACAAGTGATTATTTCTGAAGGGGCAAGGAGTGTTTGCAAAGACCACTTTGGTTATATGAGATTTAAAAGGTTTCTACAATTATTTTTTGGTGTATAAGATGCATTTGCATATGTAATTTCACAGAAGAATGGGGGCATTTTATGCACTTTCATCATATGTTTATTGAAAGTGATCAGTTATGCTGTCTGCACAGACATAACAGTGGTATTTCTTCAAAATTTATCTTTTCCAGATTATTACTATATATTAACACTTCTAATTTTCTACTGGAGATGCATTATACTACATTTATAGGAACAAAATAATGTATTTTCTCTTTTGTAGACATGGCTACCCGAAAGCAATTCAGTATTTTGCATCCTCCTTCAGTCAGTAACTGTGACTTATTAGATGCAGGTGAGTTTTTTATACATTTGTAAGAGGATGTGTCTTGCAAGAGCATTGATGTCTCTGGATCTGAGTGCCCTTATCTGCAAAAAGACAGAGCTGAAATCCAAGTACCTTTAGCACTGAAAGTCTACAGCTTGCAATGGCTGTACCACAAAGATTAAAACGAGGCAACTCAGTAGGGGTAAAAAGTAAATAAATAAATCACTGAAATTGAATTAACTTGGTAGACAAAAGCAACCCTTAGACCTTCAACAGTCATTTTGTAAATATTATTTTTTTTAACTGACTAAGGAACAATTATGTATGCCTTTTCTCTTTAAATTAGACTGGAAGTTCCTTGAGGTTAGAACCAATGTTTTTAATTAAGAATAAAATTTCCCACAACAAAATTAGGACAGATCATACTGCCAGGTAAATGGCCTAGCAATGGAATGTGTTCGTAAATACATTAAAAAGAACCCAGGTCTTAGAGCTCTCAGGTCAGAGACTTTTCTTTCCATTACAATTTTCTGTCGTCAAGGTTCAATGTAGGAGGCTTCTAGGAGAGACAATAACAATTGGGAGGAAGAAATCCAAGAGCATTGAAATAGACATGAGCTACACAAGGATACTAAAGTCCTGGCATTGACTCTTTTTTACCAGAAAAATTTCTAGAAGAAAATACCCCCCTCCCTAGAAGTCTCTACAGCACACGCGGACAGCACTTAGTGACGAAGCCTGGGTTGGCAGCCCATGTTGCCTGATGTTTGTATCGAAACCCTTCCCTGGTAGAGCCTGGTACCCGGTGGTGCCGACTGGGCTGGCTCAGCGCTAAGAGGCAGCTTCAGGGATGGACAGTTGCACTCTCGGGAGGTTGTATGCATCATCTCAGTTTGCAATTCTATTTTGTCAGAACAAAAGGGAAACAGTGGGGACTGGCTTGGCTGCTTTTCCAGATGCTTTCGACCAGGCAGGGGACGTAAAAAAGAAAATCTAGCTTGATAAATGCAACAAAGAAAGAGAAATATTCTCTATTTTCCCATTATGTTTAGCTGGGATGTGGTCTACTGATTATTTTAAGAAAACTATTAACAGAGTTTTACTGTTTTCCTGTTGTATGCTAGCAGCTTCATGTAGTATGAGAGTCTCAGGTTGGCTGTTAGAAGCCTTGGGCTTTCATCCCCAGTCACCACCATCTTGGCACTTGATTTCTCAGAGCTTCAGTGTGTCTATCTATAATGTCATTTATAATTCCTGTCCTTCCCTACCTCAAACGGATGCTGTGAGGACAAATGAGATGGCTCAATATTACCTCCTTCCCTATCCATCTGGCTCTCTGATTTGCAAGGACCACATCAAGTTCTGGACTAGAAAACAATAGAGTTGTGCCAGGAATGAAGGGGGGCAGAATGGAGCCAGGCGGAAGCCCAACGGGACACAGAGGCAGAGATCCAGGCCAGAATTGGAACATTGCATTAGCCACAATTTCACATATTAACGTTATGCCCAGTTCCCAAAAATACACATTTATGTGGTTATATGAACATCTTTGAGTCATTCAGGATTTGGTTGTATTATCATTATTTGAACCCTCAAGTGCAAAAATATAGGGGCTATATACCGAAATTTTCTTCCTTTCTCAAGGGAGTATTCTTAACTTGTGTGGGCCACGTCTTGAGGCCCTTTTTTTTGTTAAAAGTCATGAAAGTTAGTTAACTGGTCATTTTAATTCATTTGGGTCCAACTGAGGTAATTTTATAGCACCTCCTGGCTTTGAAAGATCCAACAGAACTTCAGCCTCCAGGCAACAGGAGTGAGCCCTGGAAAGGGTTTAAATGATGCAGGCTCTCCTCCCTGTACATCAGCTCCTTCTCTCTCCTTCTTTCCAGTCGAACTA